TTATTAAGAGGACTCTGAAGCCACAAAATAACATGAAAAACACTGCAATAACGACGGCGCGGTGTCTACACCTGTCATAAGAGAGAAAATGAATGTTTTTACWGACTAAGCAAGGCATCAGTTTTCTATTTACCTTTAYTTATCKTATGAAAACAAGATAAAGAATGATCAATTAGMTATATAAAAATATYGATATAATATTTCAGCACGGCTACCATCACGCACAAGTTTAGATATTGGTTTGCATTGAATTCACAAGTAAACCTCTTAGCTCCTCYCATTAGCATTTGTACCTCTGGTTACGCCCTACACAGTTTTTTTTACCCCTTTGCTTAGTTATTTTAGGATTATTATAAAGACTTATAATAARTATATTCCTTGTAAACTTTTCTATACATTTACGATATATTCATAAAGACGTGTAAAAATGCACAGTACAGCAAAGTCGGTCGACCTAGATTAACAACATGCTAAACATGATGCGTAAAATGTGCACAGGAAGGGAAAACTGCAATACGCATGAAATTAGCATAATTGTTTGTCTTCCCATGCTCCCCTTCGGTCTTAGCTTTGATGATATAACCTTCTTTTGAACCCGACGTTTTTTCAATTAGGTGTATGTAAAATGTGTGAATGTCAATATTATACACATACATAAACATTACATATATTTATACTCTTAACTTATTTGGAACTAAATTGATGTACAACTATGTGCAAAACGCAGTATAAAATATGTCTGCGTCTTCGTCTAAGACAAGTTAAGTATATGATAGGAGGTCGTGAAGCGAATCATAAACCGTCTAAATGGAACTGGTGCATGCTGTACTTATACCAAAAATACACAATAAAAGCATAATCAGGTGAATTTTCMAGTATATAACGAGACAAAGAGGTASCCTTGTATTTTATCAACTATGTAATACAATACRATGTAATCATGTGTATATCCCGCTGATCCTTCTCCTTCTTCACTGCGGGYAAGCCTACCATATTGTCTTGTTGTGATTGCATTTTCAATTGCCTTTTTTTGTTCAATTAACCAGTTGTTTTCTATCATAAAGCCAGCAAAATATCAACAACCAAATTTAAAAAATCAACCATGGTTTCTTATGTTAAT